TTCTCCTCCTTTGTGAACTTGCGCCCATCCGGCGCGGTGTCGTCCGGGTCCACGACCTCGGTTTCGTCCGCCTTGCCACTCACGCGCAAACGCTCGAGACGCGGGAGACGCGCAAAAGGCGTCTCGACCGCGGGCTTACCATCGAACGTCGTCGTCGTCGAGAGCTTCGGCTCGGGCGCGAGCGAGCCGATGAGCTCGGGGCCGAGCGTGACCATGTCGGGCTGGATCTGTCGCGCGGTGGTCAGATTTATGGCACGCGTACATTATTCAGGCACGGACCTTATCGAGCAGCGCCTTGACCTCCTTTTCGCGGCGGGCTTTGCGGTTCTCAGACGGATCCGCCTCGGTTGAGTCAAAGTTGGGCTCTCGAGCATCCTTGTGCCCGGCTCACCCACGCCGGGCACAAGGATGCTCGAAAGGCCCCCTCCGTGCCCGATCGTCAGCACGTCCTAGAACGGCGCGAAGTGCACCGAGGTGAGCGGTCGTTGCGTGATGGGGTGCGTGGTGAGGTAGAGCGGCGGCTGCGTGTGTCCGAGAATGGGCTCGTGGATCGTCGGTGCCGTGTACACCTACATAAATAAATGTGAGCTGCATCCGATATCGTTCCCGTGCGAACAGCGTACGTTGACCGTTCCAGCGCTGGCAACAGCCAGCGCACCCCGCGCACTTCACTCGAGTTCGGCCGCGCCCCCGCGCGCAGACCACTCGCGCACCGCGCCCTTCCAGTTGCGGCAAGTCCAGTGTGTCACGCAGCCGTTCTGGTGGCCGAGGTGGATGACGGCGTTGTGCAGGTTCTGGGCCATGGCGCTGCACGCGCCGAACTTTGTGCGGTGCTCGACGAGGAGCTGGCCCGTGAAGGTGTCTCGGGACTGTGACGAGGATTTAGAGGCGAGAAATGTTTAGTGCGAAGTGTGTAGCGCACAATCGTAAGGAGGAACCTCCGCGTAGTTTTTGACGTCCTTGTCCGCGTCACGGACGTAGAGAGGCAAGGGGTCCACGTCTATGACCGTACTCATAAGCTGAAATTGCCCAGCGGATTGGAGTCGCTTACCGTCCTTGTAAGTGCGGTATAAGTCTTCGTAGGCCGGCGGTACTTGTGGGAGGCTCGTAGAGGTCGCTTGCGTCGTCGCGCGCGGACCAACCGCCTTCAATTTATTCACGACAGCCTTGGCTGCGCTGTTGATCTTGTCGAAGATGTTCTTTGGGCTAAACATCTGCGATACATTAGTACCGTCCGAGCCAGCAGTGGAAACGCAAACGCTGGGAAACTAACCATGTTCTGGGGCTTTCTTGCGATAGATTTACCGGGCTACGGTGTTGCTGGACTGATGTGGTCGTCACGCGTCACGTCACAAACGCGCTGTAACTACGAAGCCGCTGCAAAAAGCCCCAATGCCTATTCAGCCATTTGCACGGCAGCAGCGAACGACTGGAGCGGGCCCACATCGGGTGCGCCCGCTCGACAATCGGCGTCCACACCATACACACGATGGCGCTCGCGTCCGCTGACGCGCACCGCACGAAGGAGAGGTTCTGGAGGCGCGGCGTGGCCGATGCACTCGAAAATTTTCCTACCGATTTCCTCCCCGTGGCCCGCCAAAAGCATTCAACGAAACCATCTCTCAGCGGGCCTTGGCATAGACGAAATTCGAGCCCAGTTCATGGCGAAAAGATCGCGCGCTTTCGCAAATGCCATCAATGAGCGGTAGAACACTACTCGATATCCTGGATACCTACTACGCCGACGGCGAGGGAACCCGAAGGCGGCGGCATGGCGGGTGCACGCGCGCAGCGCGTTCGCGATGCGGCGGCTTCGAGATCTGGGAGCGCGTCTTCAGTGCGGCGCTAATTTGTTGTTCAGATGTGTTGTTCAGGACGTACACAAGAACTCGGCCCCAGGTTTCTTTTCTCTTTTTTTTTCTACTCTCCGCACCATGCCATGCAGCCTAAGTCCCTCCCCTCGTTAGCGCCGCGCGCAGCTGGCTGCGTACCGATGAACGCGGAGGAACTGCGTGAGAGACCGGCGGAGTGCGCAACTCTACGCCGGTGTCTGCCGTGCGCGTGCGTTCTCTTACGCGTTGCCCCAGTCGTACAGCGTCCGCGCGCACGGCCGACTGCGTGTGCCGGCAGATTCGTGAGTTTGTTTTTGAGCGGGGCCGTGCGAGAAAAGCAAGTCAGCATCGGCGCAGTGTGGTATCGCGCAAACGTTGCCATCGCGAACCCAGTTCCGCCCTCTTCTCTCCTCTTCGACCTCGTTCCGCCCTCCCTCTCGAGCTCGCAGTCGAGTCCACCGCCGGCCTAATCCCCATCAACTCCAATCCACCGCATCTCCGAGCATCCTGCCCAAAAAAAAAAGAACGTCAGCAAACAAGAGTCAAGCAAACAAGCAATGTGACGCACCTCGCTGAAGAGGCTGGCAAGCAGCTCTTATGTCTCTTCTTAGACCCTGCTTCGCGCACGCTCACAGCTATGCTCCATAGGTGCACCCTCTCCAAGCGTAACACGAGCCCTCCGCGCCCCGCGCCCGTCTCTTCTGCACGGACCCACTCACCCCTACAAGTGCTCGTCGCCGAACACTTGGTCCTTGCACGTCCCGCTTCCGCGCGCAGACTTGCTTTATTTAACGATGCTCAGAAACCCGCAAGGCTCGCGCGACGCTCCGGACGCTCCGGACGCGTCTGAAATGACTCTCTCGCCGCTGAGCAAACCCGGCTCGATATACCTTCTCCACCATGTCCACTGGTACATCAACAGCCTTGCCGGGTACCTAAATATCTACTGTGTACTTTTCGTCCTTTGTTTGCTTCTTCTTTCTTTTCCTTCCCACTTCCCGACTCGGGTTTGCGATATGTGTCGAAATAGTCCGTTGGACGCGGGCACGAGAAGGACGTGGTGCAAATTTACAAGCTGCTGCGCATTTGTAGATTGAATGCGACCGGATTGGCTGGTTTTGTCTACTGCTGGTGCTGCGAATCTGGATCAAGAGCGCCCTCGAACTAAGGAATAGAAGGAGGAACTCTTGCTCCTCCTTGCGGCTTCACCGACGTCCTCGTGGTCGGGTGACGATACAGCGAGTAGCGGTGGCTACCGTGTCGGCTTCTCTGGCTCAATCGACGAGGCAAAGACGCTGGGGTTGCCTGTACGTAGCCCGGACAAGGTCGATGTGGCTGTCGATACATACCCCAGGGTGAAGATTGATCATCAAGGCCTGCTGCTGCTTCTCGCACTTCTCCGCGGGTGTGATATCGCGACCGCCGCAAGCTCTTTGGTGATGACATTGGTATCGACGGCAAAATTGTCGACGATTAGGGCGGAGCACGACGAGATGAACGGTCATGCGTGTGTGCCAGCAACAGAGTCATTGCTGGAGAAGGATGGGATTAAAAGTAAGGTCCAAATATCGGGCGGCTGGTGAGCTTAAAGGCGTTGACGTTCCGAATCGCTGGCATACGGAGGGTGCAGATGATCCGATACTGGCTGACCAATTTCGCTCTGAATAGCCCTTTCATCGTAGAAGAGAGCAAAGCATCGATCTTAGTCGGAGAGATGACATGCTTCTGGAAATGCGCAACTTGTAACCAGAACATGTGCAGACGCGAGATATCTTGTCGCATCGGAAGAGCATGGATCTCTCCCGGTTCATGACCAAGCGACTCGACGAGTGACAACGTTTTCTGCATCGCCGGGGGTTAACTGGTCCATTAGCAAGTGCAGGCGGATCTGCTCCGAGCGGGCGCATCCGTGACGAAGAGATCCAGAATGCTGCGGCTGAGAACAATCGATACTCCGCCGGCGAAATTGCCCACGGGTGACGAAGCGCTGCGGGCTGGGGCGAAGGTGATGCTGAACGGCTGGTGATTCGTGCGCTCCACAGAAGCTAGGGTCTAGTTCAGGGATGTCCGGGTATGCAGCGCCGTGCTTGACACGGGCAAAGCGTCTTCAAAGCTTGGAGCGAAACAAGCGGCAATCTGGGGAGATATTAGTTCTGGGTATCGCACGGAATCGAAGCAGAGCTACCAATAAGATCGCCTGCTCGACGCCCTTGTTCACATCGGAGATGGATGAGGCCGACACACCGCTGGATATTTCGCTGGAAGAGGCCGAAGATAGCAGGGGAGCTACCTCGATCTCTGTTATTGTCGGTTAGTGTTGTGACGTGAAGGGACGATATGGATGTAAGACATACCTTCATTCAATCATTGCACTTGAAGGCGCAGAATGACCAGGACGTATCTAAAGAGATTACCACCCATCTAATATCCGTGGGATCCTGTGGGATGGCCGGCAACAGCGGGCGACTGAGACAGAGCTGAGACAAGGATTTCCGGCGCGTCGGAGCGCGTTGCCGCTGGGAACGTCGAATCGGTCAGACGGGTCTTAGAGATTGCGACGTCGCGGCCGACGGCATGTACAGTGTTGGTCGCTTTGGTGCTGCTGTATAACGGCTAACACCGTCGTCAATGTCGCCGTATAACGACCGACATCCTCAAGCCCCGTCAGCCACCCCACCTCGTATCGTTTCGGCCAGCGTCCTGTACGGACTATAGTGAGAAAGATATTGGACTGATTGCCACTGCTCACCAGAAACCAGTCTTATGAGATCGTTGCAGACATGCGGTTGGATTTCGGTGCTCATTCGAGGTTAAGGCCGAGTTGCTCAACACAAGGTCGGGACAACTGAGCCTCAGCAAAAGCTTGAGTCTCAGCACGCGCGCATGTCCCACGGAGTCTCTGCGGTCGAGTTTGGGCCTTGTGAGGACTCCGAGGGAGCCATATGCGTTTGGTGTGAAGACAAGCGGCAGTGCCGTCGTCACGTCCGTCACGTCACCTCATCGCCACATCCGTAGATGTTTAAGACTCAGGATGTCAAGCTCAAGGAGGAGCACAACAGATTGATATTGGACTGAGAGCTCGTGGAGCGTGGAAGGCAATCTTTCGCTCGGTTGCTCGATCGCGGGGCGCCGCTGCTGTACCCAAGTGGATTAGGTGTGGGAGCATCGTGCCCAGTAGCACAGTGGGTAAGTGCGCCTGATGCTGTTAATTCTTCGGGACCCTTGTTCGATTCAAGGCTGGGCCCTTCCCGCGAAAGAAAAAGGTCTTTTTTTTTTCTTCCCTTCCCTAGGCCTTTTCAAAAATTGTCTGATCAGGTACATAGCTTTTATTAGGATGCGACTCATTCATGATACTTACAGTGCCTGTAAATCTTCTCAAGTCCTAACTAGTACTTGTACCAAAAGTCTCCAAGACATATATATCATTCATCGCGATAAATACAGGAGAAATAAGAAGTCCTATAACTAGTAGTTGTACCAAGGGTCTCAAAGACATATATATTCATCGCGATAAATTCAGGAAGAAATGAAAGGTTCTAATGAGACAGTATGCCTCGATATAACGAGCAAGGCCTTTTGGGGAGTCGAGGCCGGGCATGCCGGGGATTGCGCCCTTCATCAGCCAAGCCTGCCAGAGGCTCATGGTGACCCAACGATGATGAAGGGAGTTGACAATTAATCCTGTGGTCATTGAAAACTCAGCTGCGAAGTTGCCAGGAGAAAAAACAAGAATATTACTCACCCTTGACAAGCTGAGTATAACGGAGCGATCGTTTGAGTATTCGAAGCGTGCACAATGAGAGACAATGTCTGATGAGGTGATCTGATCAATAGTATCCTGCATTTGTGAGGAGTAAGATTTCGCGGGAAAGTGAGGATAGCGAAGGAATGGATCAAATGAGTCGGGAGGGAGGGGGCCTTGACGCTGTACAAAGAAAACAGTGTGATCCTTGTGGGTGACTATTTTCTGGATACTTCCAGCGATAGGATCAACAGCACCGGCGGACGGGTAGTATATGATCAGGCTATTTCCTAAATGTGTGGAGGCCCGAGAGAACTTAACGCCCTGGTACGTGTAGTGCGCACGTTCCCCATCCTTGGAAAGGGGGCCCGATTCCTCGTCTACGTTCTGGCGAGGCGTAAACGCTTTGTCAAACAACTCTTTGAACTCCTTGATGACTTGAGGACAGTCGGCACGGCTGAGCCACCGTCTCAGGTTAGCGCCTCTCAAAAACGACTCGGTGATCGTTGATTCCAATTCGCCCCCAACATGATCATTGGTGTTTATTTTTTGCAGGGAGCCGATGAGGCGTTCGAATGGGAAGCACCACCATGCCATGATAGGACCAAAGAGTAGCAGGAAGTCGTAAATATGGAAGGCCGCATGATTATTGGTCTTGGCACCGTGTCTGTGCGTATGTGGGTGGTAGATTTTCAAGCCGTCTACCCAGTCTTTAATGAAAGCACGGTAAGTGCTTGCGCGCTCTCCAGTCATGGTATACCTACAAGCCAAGACAACGGCCTGGAATAACGCCATGCTGTGGTCGAGGAGTTTAAGTAGACGTGATTTTTCAGATCCTTCTTCTGGCTCTTTTTCTTGGGCTGCCCGATCTCCCCAGAGGAGAATGAGTGCGATTGGAAGGTATATAGTGGCGAGGATGCGCCACTCATCAGCCTTGATTGTCCCCGCATTGTTTTCCCCGTAAGTTTTAGGTACCGAGTTGACCCATGAGGGTGTCACGGTGTTGGCGATTACACGTTGGATGTACTTCACTTTGCCGAGGTCGATGGACTTTGAAACGTAGTAGGGATTCACGATAGGCTTTGTTAGGCGCTGCAGAGACATCAGAGGGATTCACAACTTTGGTTAAGGTCGGACTCACCCATGTGGTCAATTTTTTACGTAGTTCTGCTTTGTGTCCGGTCCACTCATGCTGAGGTCCAACGAATAGGCGACGAACCGGAGAGGTGCTAAATTATTGGACATGAGTGCATGCTCCATGGCGGCAACTGCCTTCTTCAGCTGCTCGGGTGTAGCCAGCGGCTCGGGTGTAGCCAGCGGCTCTTCCCTTGCGCTGGGGATGGGAGGCGCAGCGGGCGTGGCAGGAGGCACAGCGGGCGACTGTTCGCGCGCATCGGGAAGCAGAGACGCTGTCAACCGTGCTTGAATTCTGGGGACATGTGTCGTCTCTGTGCTGGGATTTTTCAGGCGGTAGGCAGGGTCAACGCTTTCCTGGTGATATGGGACCCATGAGTGATCGAAAGAGCCTGGGGGCATAGTGCGACGCTGGGGGAAAAAAATCAGACGCAGATCCTCTCCTCTGTAAGTAGACTCACCCATTCGATTAATTTCGCGACCAAGTCGGATTTCCTAAGTTTTTTTGGCCCGGACAGGTCGAGGTTGAGTGAAAAGGCAACGAAGCGAAGAGGAGATAGATTGTTAGCCATAAGAGCCCTCTGTAATTCGGCCTCCATCGGGTTAAGAGGTGCAACGACTGGCAGATCGTCATCGGGACCAGGCGGCGCAACAACCGGCTCCGTGATGTCCTCGATATCGAGAGCCGCAGTGAGTCTTGATTGGATTGCGAATATTTGCCCTAACTCTTTATCTGGGCGGTTGAGCCAGTACTTTGGCGGGATCTCGCTTTGGTCATACTCAACCCAGACCTGCTCGAAAGCCGTCGGGCCAATCTCCTTCTTCTTCGCTACGACAGCGTCGATGCGTAGGACGCGGCGGCAGTGATAATGAACAAGTCCTTCCAGTATACAATGCATCCCATCAATCACGAGCATGCGAGTAGGGTCCCAGTATGGCAAGCGCCAGAACTCTGACCAGCGGACACCGTACTTGGTGTAGATTTGATCACGTTCTGCCTGAGTCTGCGCATTTTTTCAAGCATATGCCTGTTGTCGCAAGACATTGACGTCTCTGCGACTCCAATCCTGATGATCGAAATCGGTGCGGTTCGAGGTCGCGATACCGAAGCAATTGCACACTGTGCAGTAATGATTTGCCCCAACGCCGGCAGCACCTGCCACTTTTCGAGCAGCAGGAAGATCATTGGCGGAGATGACGACTGCCACGTCAACTTCTCGGCCTGAGTCTGAGGAGCCGGTGGGAGAGATATGGACGCCCCGCTCCCAGCCGACGACCAACTCGTCAACGAGAAGACGCGCATAATGGTTCAGCTCGTCGCCGTTGGGCTCTCTGGGGCCAGGTATCATGCTGAACCACGTATACTCCGGTTTGTTCCGTATCTTCTCGTCGAGATTGAGGATGACCGCTGAAAGGATTCCGACAGAGTCGTGGTTCCCTCGCTTCGAAGTCCCGTGAGGGTTGAAAAAGTCCAACTGAACCTCAATGGCCAACCGCATTCTCCCGCCTCGGTCAATGAAAAGCTTCTTGGGCACGGGCCCTTCAAAATCCCGTAGGAAATCGGCTTCAAACACGTCGTTGACGAACGGTGGGGGTGGCTTCGAGACGTCGTTCACATCTTCAAAAGCCCGATCGCAGGCCTGATCGCACATTCGCTCGATCCGCTCATCGGACAGGAGTCGTGCCAAGTGGTCTAGGAAAGACACGTAAAGGAAAGGCTTGATTGGACGAGGTTTTCCATGACGAACTTCCAATAACTCATCGGAGCATTGTCTCTGGCCGTTCTTTTCGAGGACAAGATTGCCGCAGGTCTTGGGATACTCTAGATCGCCAGTGATCCTGTTTTCCTTCGGCGCATGCGTGTAGTGACAAGACGGGCACACTGCATAAAGCGTCGTTTTTGCATCGAGTTTGAATGAGTTCAACGCCGCGCGGAGACTGTTAGGAATCTGTTCCAGCACATCTCGTTGTTTGGCATTGTATTCAGAAGCATCAGGCGCCAGACTGAGCGACATGACCATCCTAATGATCATTGTTACAAACTGGAGGATGAAATCGCAGGGTTTGTGACTGAGCCCGATAACGACGTTGCAGATAACGGCCAGTAATACCATCATTTGGGCGATTAGGTCCAGATGCGCGACAGGATTGACAAAGAAACGAGCTGATCACTAGGGTGAATTCCGAGAATAAGAGGTTGGACAAACGGTGCTTACCGGCGTTGTACCGCAGAGGTGCAGTCTGGATGGCAACTCGAGGACCCGCGTATGCCCCAATAAGATCAATAAGCTTGTCCAGCTCAAGAACTTCCGATAGGACCTCTTCGCGTAACCGAGTTAACTCCTCGCTTTTGGCAGTTTTGACGCTTCTCAGGGTGTTTCCTGCATCGATCGCAACATCTGTAGCTGCATCTAATGTCAAGTGGATGGAGGAATGGTCAGAGTTGTCGAGAAACAAGTCCTCGACTGCGTGTAGGGAAGTTCGAGCTATCTTCACTCGCTCCCGCAGGTCGATAAGAACCTCCTCGTTTCGTTTTACGGAGCGAAATCCGGGGTACGCCGAGCCCAAGAAATGTTGAATGCCCTGGGTTGCCTCGTCAAGAGCGATGAGACCGAAAGTGGGGAGTTCTCCTGCCCGTAGCTGCTGGAACTCGTCGCGAGTGCTGAAGAGCCTGGAAGGCTGTTCAAGGACCGTCATCCGTGATAGTGCATCCAGCTATCAGATCAGCCAACTCGTCGGCCCCGGACCGAGCTAGTCGAGCGGCCTGCAGTTGGTGCATGATGTCGCTCGCGAGTATAGTGTGAGTGATGCCATTATTGAAGGGACAGTTGAGGCATTCGATCGTCCTGCCGCCAACCATGCCTTGGATTCTCAAAAGCTAAGCGAGCACGATTGCGGATTGGAATTGCAGGCGTATTACGCCCACAAGGACACGAATTGTCGGCGTATAACGCTGACACTTCTGGGGATGACACGACGGACGATGGAAGGGAGTGCAGATTCTGGGGATGCCTAAGAGGGGATGGCACGACGGACGACGGAAGGGAGCGCATATTTGTACCGCGATAAATACTGTAATCTGAACAATAACTGCCACTTGCGACAGCAAAGACATCGCTTGGCAACTGAGAAGTGTGCGAAGCTCGAACAATGAAAAGCGATTTGCTTTCAAACAAATGCGGATAATTGGGGTTCCCGGTATAAACAAGGAAGTTGGTTACAGATAGAAGACAAGCAGGCAGATGGTGTAGGGGATGAGGAGATGAAGCCAGCCTCCTTGGATATGCGCCTCCAAGATAAAAAGCGTGAAAAGGAACGCGATGGGCATGGTCGGGAGGACGCGCTCTACGGTGTATAGTCAGAAGAGGG